ACGGTATTTTTCTATGAAATCAGTGCCATTTCCTAACATCACTTCTTCCCATTTACTAGGCGTTTATACAAAGATGACAGTGAAGTCACGTATAGGCCTAAAAGCGCACAACGCATTTTTCTCTCTCCTTAATAATTCGACCTCAAGAGATAGGCCTTCTTCAGTAGTTTCTTCTGCTGGGCCACGTGCCATTTCAGACACAAAGGCAGCAGACAACTGTATACCTGCTTTGTTTTCATTTAATGGACAGTGCTTGAAGGCACAGGATAAAGTCTGGGTGAACTGGATCCGGGGATGGTTTGCCTGTAAATATAAATTATGATAAATCAATTTAATAAAAAAAAAAAGGAATGAAATGAAAATAATAGAATTGTTATTGTGCTGTTTAGATTATATGACTATTGTCAAAACCTAATGTCGACAATGTTGATATTGTTTGGCCTTGATAGGTAGTGTTGATAGACAAGAGTTTGAAAGTAATTATCTGTCTCTGGAATTTGAAAAGCTGTAATATATTAATATGTAGATCAATAAGATGTTCTGAGCAGATGTAAACATTTTCCACCAGGCGCCCATGCACTCCCATCAGCGTTCATGCGTTTCATAGCCTGTAGGCCTACCCATCGCTTCCAGTATTCATTTTTTTTTTTTTTTTTTCGCGATCTGGGAATATATGAAAGGTTAAAATTTTCTTTCCCATCATGTTGTGGTTCGAACAACCAACGACAACACAGTTCCTTGGCATTTTCACGCAAAGAAACGAAATTCACAGAAAAATTCAGTGATTTTTCAATCGAACGAGGGTTTGTTTTCACCAAGTGCTCGTTGCTAGGGGCGGTTGCTAGGCGTTACCGAATCGGTCTATAAAACCTACATATTTGCACTGTATAGAGTGAGAGGAATCCAACGATACCAAAAATCGTCGATATCGGAGCGGCGGACGTAATATAGAATATTACTGTCTTTTAGTTTTGTTATTATCATTGCTATTGCTATGATTATGATAATTATTATCGATATTATTTCATCTTTTGGTTAACATTAGCAGTAGCAACTTTTTTTCAATATTACAAATATCATATTCATCAACGTTCTCCTTATGAACATCAATAGTATAATTCCATTATTCTGTTCGAGGTAACAATTCTAGTGGTCCTTATTACATAATGATTGTCATTATTATTGTTTTCATTTTTGTCGTAATCGCTATAGTTATAGGGAGGAGGAGAAGGAGGAATAGGAGAAAGCCGAGAAGGAGGAAAAGGAGGAGAAGGAGGAAATGAAGAGGGAGGAGGAGAAGGTAGACGAGGAGGAATAGGAGGAGGAGGGGGGGAAGGAAGAACGAGAAGGCAAAGGAGAAGCGTTCAAAGGAGGATAAGAAGAGGGAGAAAAGAAAGAGGCCGAGAAAATGAAACAGCAGAAGGAAGAGGAGAACAAGGGAAGGAGGAGAAAAGAAAAAAAAAAAGGCTAGGAAGGAGGAAAGCAGAAAACGAGAAAGCGGAGAAGAAGAAAAGAAAGAGGATAAGGAGGAAAGCAGGAAACGAGGCAAAACATAAAGAAACAGAAAAAGGATGAGTTTGAGATGGATGAAGATTCGCATTGAGAGGATGGGGTGGGATGAAGGGGAGGAGAGAGGAGAGAAGAGGGATGGAGGGGAGGAAAGAAGGAAGCAGGGGAGGAGAGAGAAGTGGAGGAGGGGAGGAGAGAAGGAGGAAGCAGGGGAGGAGAGAGAGTGGAGGAGGAGGAGAGAAGAGGGAGAGGGAGGAGAGAAGGAAGCAGGGAAGAGAGAGAAGGAAGCAGGGGAGGAGAGAAGAGGAAACAGAGGAGGAGAGAGGAGTGGAGGAGGGGAGGAGAGAGGGGAAGGGGAGGGAAGGGAAGAGGGCCCATGGTAAGTAGGAAAAAATAGGCTATTTACGAAGTTTAAGAGAGATTGGTCTGGCAAGGGACCATATTTCTTCCATTATTATACAATTCATAAAAAAAAACATCAATAAAACACAATCCATATCGTGACGAGCGTAGAAATTCAGGAAAATCTTACATCTTCTACAGCCTCACTACCACCCAACTCTATTTTGTAGTTTTATTCCCTTAGAGTTTTATACCATCATAACTAATTTAGGGTTACGTTTTACCAATTAAATGCATTAATGATAGTATGATTAAAGTCTCACTGCTTCTGGCCGATGACATAATGGCATTGACCATGTAAACAATCTTCTTTTTTTTTATCCTTTAGCACAGGGATTCTCAAGGTCGAATGAAGGCTTTGCAAGGTCGTTCAAGAAGCCAGGGTCTGACTTCTGATTTCTTGGAAGGAGTCGAGTGCAAGTGAACGCAATCCTTGGCTTATGTCATGTTTATTCTCGTCGCTTCAGAGGCATTTTCTTCATTTCTCAAAGTTGGTTGATGTGCTGTGGTGTGAAATGGAAGACGGGTTTGTTGTATAATTGTCCACGGGGATGCATGCACGTGGGTGTGGGTGGGTGGGGTGTGTATGTATATATGTATATATACATACACACACACACGCAAATACACACACACGCACGCACGCACGCACGCACGCACACACACACACACACACACACACACACACACACACCACACACACACACACACACACACACACACACACACACACAACACACACATACACACATACATATTTAAAATACATATATATATACATATATATATACATATATATATATATATATATATA